GGGGCTGGCACCAGGACAGTCCCCCTCCAGGTTCTTCTCTGTACTATTGGATCTTCCCCCAGGTGTGTGGACAATGGTGGGCACAGAGACAGCCACCACTGGCCCCAGGACACACAGCATAGCCACAGCTACACTGCCAGACCTCCTGGGATCCTGTGGTCAGCTCTCCCTTCCTCCTTCCACCTCCTCAGCCAGAGAGGGGCTGCGTAGGACAGAGGACACCAACCATGGGCCCTGGACATTTATTGCTCAGACCGACGGCAAGGCCCGCAGTGTGGCTTGCGTTAGAGAACCTGCGTGGGGGCGGGTGACAGCGGTGGCAGTGGGGGCACAGAAATCATGAGCTTCTCGGTCCGGAGGAAGGCAACGTGCTTCTCATAGTAGGCAGCCTCGTTGATGAACACGGGGTACACAGTGGAGTCCCCCTCGTACAGCACTTCCTCACCACTGAACTTCTGGAAGATGGGTGCACCTGGCTGCAGAGGCTCATAGTCCCTGTCCTGGAGGAGAGCCAAGGCCAGCTGGTGACACTCAAGAGATTCCCCTCATGGCCTTGCCCCACTCACCCTTCACTTCCTCCATCCACGTGACATGTACCCGGTGACATGCCAACTGCTCTGTGAGTAGAAATGGAGATATCAAGTCACCTTGAAAAGATGGTTGTCATTGTGGAAGTGTTGCCTAGTGGTTATGGGCACAGACATGTCAGTGCTCAAAGTCTGAGTTCAAATCCTTGTTAGAGCAAGTTCCTTAACCTCTCTATTCCTAGGCTTCTCATCTGTAAAACGGAGATTATAATATCTCCCCCTATCATTCTGAGATCTAAATTCAGTGGGTTAATAGTGCTGAAAACATATTTGGCACACAGTAAGTACAATATAATATGGTCATGTGCCACTTAATGATGGGGTTAGTTCCAACAGATGTGACTTTAGTTGATTTCGTCATCATGGGAACCTTACAAGATACATTTCACAAGCTGACATGGCGGAGATGCCACTAGCCAGGACTCTTGCAGGACAGGTTCCCATATTGCTGTCTGTCGTTTAGGAAAATGTCGTGGCAGGTGATGGCACTAAATGCTATCACTGAAACTCTGCAAGGCGGATCTGACCCCAACACTGCCAGGTCGGCCTCCACCCGAACGTCTTCACAAGTAAAATAGCACCTCAAAACAAAGCTGCAGGAAACAAGGGCCGGACGCACAAGACCCGCTTCCACGGTGACCCTGTGAGCGGAGCAGCACCTGGCCCCTCTGCGGGAGCAGACACCGGGTTGCCGGATTCTGGAACCTTCGGAAAGGGGAGGCTTGGCGAGGGGCACTGCTCAGCCTGCTCACAGGCGTTGGGTGCCCGCACATCAACTGGAAGGCAGGGCTCCTCTGCGCGGGCGCAGCGGGTGGCCACAGCCTCCCTCCCGCTGCCCACAGTTGAGGATGCTGTGGCCCCAAGGGCCAGGCCTGAGTGTGGAGGTTCCGGGGGAAACAGAAGGGGCCGGGTGGCGACTGCAGCCAGCCCCTGTCCAGCTCCGGGTGATGCGGTGCTGGGGACCCTGCGGGAGCCCGGTTTCTCTGCACCCCCAAGGCCCTGGCCCCCAGCCTCCCGCGCACCTCTCACCTGCAGCTGCGGGTGCACCATGCCGGCCAGGTCCCCGTCCTGGGTGCGCGGGAAGTCCTCGCCGCCCAGGTTTCTATAGACTTCCATCTCGAAGGCAGGGAAGGCCGCGCCTGGCGGAGGCTGGGGGTGAGAGCCGCCCGCTCCGACCCGGCTGGACGGGCCCCCTGACCTCAGGTCCCCGCCAGCGCCCGGGGCTTCTCACCCTGGTTGAAGAGCTCCATGAAGTCCAGAGCGGAGGCCACCAGGGCTCTCATCCTGGAGAAGACGGCAGCGCGCAGCACGCCCTGGGGCTGCGGGCCCAGCTCCACGGCTGGGGACCCGAGGGGGGGTCAGGCAGGTGTCCCCCGGGCTGCGCCCCCAGGCCCCAGGCCCCGGCTCCCGGAGCCCCGCCCCTCGGCCCAGGCCCCGCCCCTCGGCCCGGCCCCGCCCACTTCCACCGCGCCCTGGGCCCACTCATTCCGTTCTTGGCCACAGAGTCCAGGCTGAAGCTCTTCCTCGCCGACTGCGGTGGCCAGGTCAGGAGCACCTGGCAGGGCACCTCGGGGAACTGCAGCTGGGTGGGAAGGGAAACAGGCGAGGAGGGAAGTGTGCAGAAGGAACCCGACTCCGGCCTCCCTGGCCAGCCTCCCTGGCTGGCAGCCTCCCTCTGCACTCTGGAGGGGCTGGGGTCCCAGAGGTCCTGCAGTGCCTGCTGGTGGCAGGGCCCCAAGGGAAACCTGGCTGGGAGAAAGGGGCCAAGAAGAGCCCACACTGTCCCCTCTGCTCCCTCTGCCCACCCCCTGTCCTCTGGGGTCTGTGGCCAGCGGCTCGGGCTACCTGTAGGTGGTGGGACAGGTGCAGGGCAAAGGTGTTGTGGGCGCCATCCACCAGGAGGCAGGTGCCCATGTTGGCGGTGGTGTTGTGCAGGTCGAGGACAAAGTCGAAGGCCCGGTCGGAGCCAGAGGCCTTGGGCCCCAGCAGCTGGTCCAGTTCCCGAGCTCTCGTCAGTTCGTAAGGGTCATTCGGAGTGGCCCTGGAGCTGTGGGGTGGGAATGGGCACCGGCCCCCACATCTCAGGCTGCCGGCAGGAGAGCCTCACGTGGCTCAGGCCTGGGCCTGCCCCTGCTCCTGGCCCTCGTTGGCTCCCCCTTCCCCATGAAGGGCAAGCTCTGCCTGCCCCCCCCCCACCTGCCTCATGCTGTCACTTGGGCCACACTTCCCCAGCACCATGCTGGTGCCACCACGAGGCCTGTGTCCTTGCATGGCCCTCCGCTGAAAACCCCTGCCTCCTCCCTTCACGTGGCCAATGCCTACCTGTGGGGCTTGGTGGAGATACCACCTCCTCCAGGAAGCCTTCCCTGACTCTTGGCCAGGCTCTGTGCTCTGTGCAGCCCCAGCCCCTGCATTTAGCCTCCTGGGCTGTGGTTGAGATCTTGCTCCATGTCCCCCAGTAAGCTAAGGCCACTCCCCTGGTCTTCTTCCCCATCCTCTTGCCCTAGGAGTTCAGAGCCTGGCTGGAGCTGGGACCCAGGGAGGCCCACAGGAGGAGGGTGTGCACACCAGTTGGGCACAAAGCTGGTAGATGGGACCTGAGGCTGATCTGAGGGAAACTGGCCATCAGACAGCTCGTTGCCACTCCTGGAGGAGGTGACATGGATCAGGATTTCTCTAAACTGAAAAGAGAGGAGGAGGCAGCGTAGGCAGAGGGGGACCAGCGCGGAGGCAGGAGCAGGCCCTGCTGGTGCCGGAGGGAGGTGCGGTGGGGCTGTGGTGCAGGGCCATGCACCGGGCCTCGCTGGGGCCAGGCCAGGGCACTCACGCGAGTAAGGTGTCCGTGAAGGTGCGGTTGAGGTCATGGTCCACATAGCGGCGGCAGGCGGCCGCAGCCCCCGGGTTAGCCAGCACGGGCGTGGCAGAGAAGCTGGGTCTCCGCAGCTCCCCGGGGTCCCGCAGCCAGTGCCGGGCCAGGTAGACGCCAGACAGCTCGTTGCCATGGGTGCCGCCCGTCACGGCCACACGGCGCAGGGGCGCCCGGGGCACCGGCACGGAGCACATCCCTGTGTGGTGGAGCACAGAACAACGGCTCCGTGACGGTGACACCCGGCCTGGGAAGTTCCTGCCCTAAGCCGAGAGAGGCCCAGGCTTTGGGGCGCATCCCGACAGCAGGGGGACCCTGCCCCCATTGTACAGACAGGAAAGCTGAGCCGGCCTCAGGGAGCAGGTGCCGCGTCCTTGGCCCCCAGCAGCCAGGCTCCAGGGAACCCCTGGGCCTCCTGCCTCGTGTGCGCCTCTGAGCTGGTACCGGACTTCGGGAGGCCACTGCCTACCTGCTGATGCGGGTCTGGGCTTCCTGGGCCCCAGCTGCGGCACCTGCCTGCTGGACGGGGCTGATCGTGGGCCTGGAGATTTCTAAGCAGGAAGCGCTCCTGTCGCTGGCCAGCAGGGCTGTGGGGGATGGGCAGGTCCCTGCAGCCAAAGGTTGCCCTGGTCTCCTCCCACCGCAGCTCTGCCCAACCGCCACAGCCCACTGGGTCTCTGTCTTGTGGGCAGGTTCCTGTCTTTGCCTTCTGTCCATCTTCTGACCCCAAGGGTCACTCAGGGGCTGGGCACGGCCTTGGGGACTTATTTGCAGAGGTTCCCTAAGACCTGGATGTCGACCAGAGGAGATTGGGCTTTGCAGACTGCCGCGTGCCAGGTGTCCAGCCAGGGGTGGACGGGCCTGGGTCCAACCCAGGAGCCACTGGCTACAGGGGCTAAGTCCACCCGGATGGGCACCTTCATTAAGGCTCAGAGGTGGTGGCGGTGGGGTGGTGGCCACCCCACACCTGGCCACTGAAAGTCTCTATGGAGGCACGCACCCTGCTGGCCACCCAAGTAGGAGCCTCCACTAGCTCAGAGCAGGTCACTCCTTGCAGCCCCTGTAGGACCAGGGCCACTCCAAGGTTACCCATCCCAGAGGACTGGCTCCCAGTGGAGTCTGGTTTTATGGCTCTTTGATGTTTGAAAAAAAGACCTGGGTGCCTCACGGGTGTTTTGGTTATTTCCAGGCAACCTTGACCCTCCCACCCACTCACGCGTGTCGGGGGACACAGGTGAAGTCCCCTCGCCCAGCCCCAAGGCCGGTGTCTTCCACCCAGCTCTGCGGGCAGGGCCCAAGGATAGTCCAGAGTCACCGAGGAGAGAAGCCGAGCGGAGGCAGTCAGCCGCCGGACGGTCCCCTGTGGCCTCTTGGGTGCCAGGTGGCGTTCTGAAGGGACCTCCCCAGGCTTCGGGTCCCGGCCTTTGCCACGTCGGATGGGCTCCCCCTGGGCTGACCCTCGGAGGCCACTCAGCTCCTGTGTGGCCTGGCTGCCCTCACTCTCCTCCCTCTACCCCCAAGGCTGGGGGACCTTGGCTAGTGCCTGCATCTTGCTGGGGTCACCAGAGGGTGGTAAAGGTGTGAAAGCTCCTCCAGGAGCCACCGCGCTGGGACCTGGGCCTCAGCAGAGACCTCCCGGAGGACCTCTGGGAGGGCCGCTAACCCTTCCTTGGCTCTACCCCTGGAGGGCAGCCTAGGAGGCTCTAGGAGGTGGAATGACTATGCAGAGCCACCCCTGCAGGTGACAGGGTGGTGGAAGGAGCCAGCGGACGAACCTGCCTCCCTCCTCCCAGGCCCTGCTGATGCTTTGGGCAGGGGTCTCTGGGCCCTGTTATGAGTCCAAAATCTTGGTCTTCATCTCAAAGGCCCACCCAGGCTGCTGGGATCCTGCTGACTCACGCAGGATCTCACAGGAAGAAAGGGGCTACTCAGGGAACCTGGCTGTTTGGAAGCCAACCCTTCTCTGTCTGGAGACCAAAGTGCTCCCTCCCAGGAGATGCTGGGTCCCCAGCTCCGCAAAGGGCAAGGGCAGGGAGTGCTTAGGAATTTTCACTTCTCTTAGCTGCGGTCTCACTTCCCCATTTCGGTGGATATTTATAGAATGGGGGTGGGGGGCTGGAATCTGAGGCAGGAGCTCTCAGAAATGGCACCCAGTTGAGTATGTGGGGGCAGCCTGCTGAGCTACACCTGGGAGCCCAGGAAGGGGAGGGCCCTTCCCCTGGTTCTGACCCCCTAAACTCAAGAGGCTGTGTGATCTGGAGAGAGCTGATGCCCTCTCTGGGCCTCAGCTCCTACTAGGGACATGGGGTGGGGCTCTCTGCTAGCCAGGGGCAGTGGTGCACATGACGGGCCCAGGCCCGGGAAACGGGCGTCAGAGAAGGACCCTGGTTGTCCTTCCCACCAGCTTTCCTAGAAAGCT